ACCAAGAGGCCGCGGGGGTTGCAACCTAGATAGATAGTGGTTTCTGAACCACGCCGCAAACTTGGCTATCTCAACTCAAACCCCATGTTAAAGGTGGGATAGTCCCTTTAATTGAATATACCATAAATATACCTACTTTTTTCCCAGTAGATGGAGCTTCATCATCCACCTTCCTGTACTTCCTCGCTCTGCACCCTTTGCCGTAGTGGTCATCATCCGAAGAATCATCGCTATCCTGAGCGCTTCCCAGGTACTGTTCTTCTCCTGCTTCTAACACCTTCTTCTCCATGGCATTTTGAGTCCCTGCAAAAGCAATTCATGACAATTAGCATCCAGGTAGCCGTAGCTGCATGATGTACAACACAATGGAAGACAGGAGGAAGTAATTTCTAAGGCCTGATATCTTCCAAGCCCCACTAATAATGTATGCAAATCAACATAAGCTCTGTGGCATTGCATGGTAGGAAAGACTTTGTAATAGCAGACTACAGAGCAGGCATGGTGTGGGATGCTACACCAGCTTGAAGGAAATATATCACTTTTAGCATAGGCTTTGAACTGGAATCGTTCCGCTGCCTATGTTCATGGATATAATTTATCTATAAATTTCTCTATTCATAATAGAGCCATTTCACATATTCATGTTTATCTACTTCAGACTTGATATGTAAAAATAAATGAGAATAAAAATGGTAAGCAAGATAAAGCATCAGAGGCCACCAAGAGCCACTGATGCAAGACACTTACCAAGATCCAACAAACGGGCGCGATGGTAGGTGGATCCCCACTTCACCTCAACCACCTCGCCGATTTTAGGCTCTCCTTTACTCTTCACGTGCTTCAGTGGTACCACGTTCCACTTCGGTGGGTCCTCCAACCATTTTACGAAGGCAAATTGGTTGGACCTGCTTCCTGAACATCCCTTCTCTACCATCGTTACACCGCGCAGATCAAAGAAAACTTGCTAACGACGTAATAACGATAAAAACTGCGAATCAGCCTGTCAGAATCAGAATCAGCCCTGTATGACCGCGTACAGGGCTCCCTGTATGACTGCGTACAGGGCTCCCTGTATGACTGTGTACAGGGCTCCTTGTAGGATTCCCTACATGGCCCAGTAGGATTCCCTACAGGGCTCCCCATCAAATGCCGTGCAGGACTCCCTGTAGGATCCAGTTCATGGTCCCCTGTTTGATGCCCTGCAGGGCACCCTGCATGATTCCATGTACAGCCACCCTGTGCGTTTCTCACCCTGCATGAAATCCTGTACGGCTCCTCCAACAACCCTGCACAACCCTGCAGGGACGTACAGGATTTTGGCACAAATCCTGTAGGATTTTTTCACTAGGGCCAGGCCTCGAACGACGCCTGGCTCGCGTGACAGGTGGTCGGGCTGCTTGTTGCGCCGCAGCTGACCTTGGTCCTGGTGGACGGCGCAGAAGTTGGCCTCTTGGTGGCCTCCATCTCGCTGAAGAGCCCGAGCCAGTGTCTGGTGGGCACGGTGAGACCGCCCCGACTCAGGAGCCGAATCCAGCCGGCGTCGTCGGGGACATCTTCTGTGATGGTGTCCGTGCGGGCGCCCAGCCGAGAGCACTTCTTGGCGATGAAGCCAGCTGCGTACGCCATGCCGTAGCGCTGCGCTCGGAGCTTGGGGTCGGCCACCTCGGTCGAGTCACCGTTGGGATCCAGTCCCAGCTCCTCCATGCACGCTGGTGGAGGCGGCTCCAGGTCTCGGATGGACTCGTCTCCATATCGTCCTCCTCACTCGTGCCCTCGAGTGAGGAGGAAAACAGGATTTGGGGGTACCCTAGGTTTGGTTCCTTCGGCCTCTGCACCCCCCCCCCCCCCCACGTGAAAATTCCTTAGACGAGGCCCTGACATGTATTTATACGTTGGCAATTAAAGTAGATCAAAAACTTTGTTATCAATGAATGTTTGCTCAGCTGTGGTTATGCTGCTTCAAATAAGATCTTTGCCATTGAGAGGTTTGAAACGAATATACTTAAAAGAAGAAAGTTTAACTTTCTGTTGGTGACGAAAAGTGCAAGATAAACTAAAAATACATCTCGAATGCTTACTGCTGCTTGTCCGGGGCATTCTCCACCGTGGCCATCACGGCCCCAAAGCGGCCGCCACGGGCCGTGAAGTTTGCGGCCGCCTCGCCGAAGGCCTGACACCACACGCCTTTGAAGAGCCGGTTGGCGTTTGACGTATGTAATTTGGTTCCGGTGCGTGTGATAAAGACCTGTAAACAGACGTCATAACATTTAAATTTCACAACATGAACACAATGGCTGAACTGATATAAACTGCATCATGCTAATGGAACTTGCGAATGATGTCTTTGTTTACACACCCTTTTTGATTCCTTCGTTCATTAACTCTTACACATAATTCATATTAACTGAAAAGCTAGCATGTAATGCATAGACATTTATAAGCATTGTGGGCGCTTTAGATATGTGTAATACCTTATCACTGCAGCCGGCGCCGCAGTATATTGCCGGCCTCTCCCGGTCGACGAAGAGGATCATCGGCTCCCACATGGCCTCTGGCACAGTCATGAGTCACGTCCAGGATCGTTGAGTCGGCAGTCGTGTAGTCGGTGTTTCGGATGAGCCGGGACTTCTTACCGTTGATGATGGCTGCCTGTGGAGATAGAAAAAGTAGAAAACATCATGAGTCTGAAAACAATGCAGCTTCGCGCAGCTAACAATGCAACAAGGGAAAACAATACACAATTGAGGAGAGAGCATGAAAGGTCGCTAATGGACATAGGTACCTTTGCGGCCCTCAGATGAGGGACCGTCAGCCCCGTCACGTGTGAAGGCCGACCAACGCAGGTCACCAGCGCCGCCGTCATCGGGATATGGCGGCTTGCCTTGGCTGCCTGGTAGCTCACCGGCTCCACTGGCACCTCTGCCAACTTGTCTTTTAGAAGCTGACACTGAAACAAATGCAATTTATTAACAAAATCGTCATTATCACACTATCACACATATTTAACTTATATAGCTTCCACTCGTCTAGGAATAAAATACAATTAAAGCGGCATACCTCAAGGAAGTCGGCCTGCTGTCGCATCGGGACCACGGCGGCGGCCTGCCGCGCGTGGTGTCGCTCTCTCTCTCCCATCGCTGCGACTTCATGGCATGACCCCAGCTATCCAGACGGTAGTTGATGGACTGAAACAGGCGTATTTGGAAATTCCGACCTCGACGAGCATTTGTGGTAGAAAACCGCCACTTTGGTAGGGGAAACTACTGCTGTCTGCTACCATTTGCACTGCATGTGTCGCTATAGCTGCGACATCTATGCATATACCGTAAACGGGGGTGACCTTGCCATGCTTTCAACTTTAGACGCTTGTATTATTTAAACTTGTTAACTTATTTGGATGACTATGTTCAAGACACGGATGAAGATTAACTCTTTGGGTTTTGCTATTATCGTATTTATATCTTGCCTAAAAATATAAATTTTTAAAGAAAATAAGTCGTGGCAAAGTTAAACTGAAAAAGGGGTGACTTTGCCACCATGCCAAATAATGTTTTTTTAACACACCAAATATTTTTCAAACATTTTTGTTCATTGTATGGGGAAGGGCCACCATCCCTAATTGTTTAATAGGAAGAAATAAAGCAATTCGAGGTTTTTTGCTCTCAACCCTATTAGTGGCAGGGGGGGGGGTTGTTTTTATCCACCCCTCAGGTTTTTCGGGAATATCTCCGAAACCGCTGAAGCTACGATGCTGAAATTTGCTGACTTTTCCTAAAACTAAATTGGGCACATTCCCTGAAAATTTCAAGTTCATAACTTTACCAGGGGCGGCTCCAGAGCACTGGGAATTGGGGGGTCCTATTCGTGAAGCGAGTCATTTGGGCGAAGATCACGATGCTGCACCAGTTTTACGAACAGTGAATGAAAGGTATCATGTGATAACATATATAAAGTTATTGTGCATCCTCTTTTGACACGTTTTTGCTATAATAGGCGGATCCAGGCGTCCAAAAAGGGGGGTTATTTTTTACCTCCCAACATAGGTGCCCTGACACCGCCTATGCATGACCAATACAATTTTAGTCGTTCTCTCATAAGAAAATTGTAACATAACAAGACCATTGACACCCTTTTTAGAAACAGTACCAACAAAAACCTTATTTACTATACTTTTTGTGTACCCCCAATCTCAATGATCTGTATCCGCCTATGATTTTTGAAAATGCATATTTTTAGGATCCATGTGAATTCCTGGTTCATTCTCTATCGATCGGCAAAAGTTGCGTTAAGATTGGTTCAGAAACCTGGCCGTGATAAACAGTCTAAAATGTATCTGCAATTCGCCCGTTTTTACCCCCCTCTACCCCCCTATTGACATTTTTCAATTTTTTTTTTTTTAGAAATGTAGATCTCGTTGAGAGAAATCGAATGCCGTTTGAATTTTGAAAATCGGCCCTTTAGATCTCGAGATATCAAGGGGGGGTCGTAAACAGCCCCCCCCCCCTGCCACTAATAGGGGGTAGCCAGGAGCCTGCCACTAATAGGGTTAAATGATGTACAAAAAGGGAGAGAAACATTACTTATATAATACATTATATTTGTTGAAAATAATTGACATTTGGTAGTAAATAGAAATTGAGAAATGGTTCAGAATAGATAAATAAGCAAAAATATTATTGTATCGGTACTATAGGACCTTGCCGCTTTCTTGCAGTGGCATTGAGAGGAACAGAAAGTGGACGTTCTTGCGGCAATTTACCGGCACTTTTATTATTAGCGTTTTGATCTATAAAATGGTACATATTTCTTCAGCCAGTCTTACTGGCAAACTCAGTAGTTGTAGATGATCTTGGCTGTGCTGAAAAGTTGGGCCCAGCTTCATCCACTTTTTTATTTTGGTAATTTGTGCCGTTCTATACTCCCACTGTGCATTCCTGTGTTTATTTTCAACATATAAACTTCTACTTTTTAATAACCAGTTTGGAGATCAAAATGACACTGCGCCCTTACTGGCCCTGCTCGGCCCTCTTCTTGGCCTTCAGGGCCGCGCTGTTCTCGTCGTTTATCTTCTTTCTTATCACGTCCTTTACTTCCGACTCGGGCATCTTCAGCCGGTTGACCAAGAACGCTAAAAAAGAAAAAGAAAACATCGATACAGTATTCAGTTTTGTTCACTCACTAGTCACTACTATTCACATTAAATGAATATAATAAAGATCATTTTCAAAATGCTTTATTCTATTCTTAATTGGATATTTTTTATTTACATATTTCAGTATTATATTTATATTGCATTTTTGAGCAATGCTATTTTGCTAATAATCTTTGAAGCGGGTATCAGCGTTAAAGTGAAAACAAGTATTTTTGTTCTAAACTGTCTGATACTAAAAATGGCATGAATATCAATAACATCAATAAAACATGGTTGTAAAATTAAGAACATTCACCGAGTCCTTATTGAATCATACTATCATACCGTCCGATCACCAGGTATGGCTGGCTGATGAACAGCAAGGCTAAACATCACTTACTGATAACATCACGAAGCTTCCCTTGATCAAGGGCCGGCCTCGTCGGCTGCTCAAGCCCCTTGTTCTTGTTGAGGGGACATGCTTGTCCGGTGTCCCCTCATAGAGGAGCTGCCCAGCACCTCTTTTCCGAATACGGCCATCATCATGTCGCGAATGGCCTTCTTCTTGTCATCAAAGTTGATGAGGCAAAAGGCCGCAGATGTGATGGCCGTGAAGGGCCCGATGGTGACCTGGCAGGACATTGACAAGTCACAACACAGGTATTCTGAATCAGTGTTGCCAATAACATACATTCCTTTAAATACCGCAGGAGATCTTTCTGAATCTTTCTACACCATGCGGGCTACCTTTACTTTCTACCTTTACTTCGCTCTAAGCCTCGCCGGGCGGAGGACACTTGCTGTCCCCCTCCCCCTCATTCCTTTGCGATAGCTCGGACCGCGCGTCTTCGTAGCGCAATTTAGTAGACAAAAGTGATATACAACTCAGCACTAATTCAAGAGAAATGAAGCCGGCAGTGATTGGTAAGGTGAATGTACTAAAAACCACCTCCAGAACCCATTGAGTGCACACAAGAAGAATGAGCATCGAACAGCCGCCGGTAAGTATTTTACCATATTCACGTCATGGTGAGTTGGCCGCCTCGTGGGAGTTTCGGCTTCGGTCCGACTGGTCGACGGCATTGCCAGTGGACGAGCAGGGGTGGATAGGTGGTGGGAAGCTCCCGCCTCGCCCCTTGGGCTGGCTGAGGCACCTGTATCAGCGTCGTCGTAGTCGTCCACGTTGACAACGGATACCTGCCCGACAATCAAAATACATATGCAAAAAAATCCAATCAATTAAGGAACGTCAACAAAAAAGGAATGGCAAAGTATTTGTATAGTAGAAATCCTAGAGCCCTTCTTTTAGTCAGAAACAAGCGGCTGCGCCACTTGCTTTGCTGCGTGGTAGGAAAAAATTGCGGCACCAGCCAATTTGCTTTCGAATGGTGTTTGATTCAAATCGATGTGTCGTCTAGAAGCATAGATATGGACGGAAATGTGAAGATGATTTAAAGAAGAACTGTTCTGAAGGCTTTGTTGGATGAAATTTGGGTGATACGGGGTCAAGACGGGTTAAAGGGGTCAGCCCCGGTCGCTTTGGGTCAGGCCAGGTCACATAGGTCACCTCTCGTCCGCTGGGATCAGCCCGGGCCACTGTTCTGCTTTTGCCTCCACCACTACCCCTACCCCTACCACTACCCCTACCCCTACCCCTACCACTATCCCTACCACTACCCCTACCCCTACCCCCACCCCTACCACTACCCCTACCCCTACCCCTACCCTACCACTACATCTACCCCTACCCCTACCACTGCTACTACACCCATACTCCTACCCCTACCACTACCCCTACCACTACCCCTACCACTACCCCTACTACTACCCCTACTACTACCCCTACTACTACCCCTACCCCTACTACTACCCCTACCCCTACACTACCCCTACCGGCTACCACTACCCCCTACCCCTACCCCTACCCCTACCAACACCGCCGGGTCATGTCAGGTCACAGAATAATTGGATCCAATCAGTACTAAAATATCAGACTTAAAGTGTTCCCAGCCCCGCCCCTATTCGTGCCATTCCATTACCCTTAATCGTATTTGTCGGAAATGGCGCTTTGTGACAAATGTGGCGCATTGCGGCAAACGTGGCGCATTTTCACCCGAGCCCTGATCGGCGGCCGGCTAGTACTCTTGCCGGCGCTCACATACGTGCACGTTACCCCGGCAACGGGCTATTGACCAATGAGAAGCGAGAAAAGTGTTACGTCACTGCGATTTTTCATATACCTGTGCCCCCCGGACGTGACGTAGTGTGCTCGCGCGCGTGCAGGGTCTCTGCGATCGAAAAAGAGCGCTAGCAGCGCGCCACTCGACGCCGCAATCGTCTACAGCGGCGTGTTAGTATGCTTTATTATGAATGATGTGTGTAAAAGTGAGTTTTTATGTTGTTAATGTGGAGGAAATGGTTGGAATAAAATAAGTTACTTTTATTTCTATTGGTTGGAGTTTTTATTCAAAAGATTTCGGTCTATAGCATTGATATTTACTGAAAATGCCTTCGTTTGAATAAATTGCGGATATTTGGCAACTGAAGTGTTAGGTAAGCCTAAATGATACCTAAAAAGGTAAGAGATACCCTGATTATCATTTGAGAAACGAAAATATATGAATTTCCCTTATAAGGCTCGCTCAACACGCTACTCCGCGGTTTATGCCCCGAGGGTGTCCGAGGGTTCCCGTTAGTTTGTCGTTGGCGCTCGGGGCCCTGTTTCACCGGTGATAGCAGCACGCTGCTATCAAATTGCGCGAGCTGACGTAATGTGATGATGTCATACTGCTGACGTAAGGGGCAATTCTGGCGCACGATTGCCGCAATATTGTTTTACGTCATCAGCTAAATGTTTGAAGTTAATGTCCAAATTTTTCCTAAACCCAACTTCTTTTAAATAAATCATATTGGAAAAATATATATCAAAAATATATATACTATCATGACAGCGTAAACTCTTACTTTTAGGCTAATACGTCACTTAATGCCGCCGCCAAGGTCGCGGCAATCGTGCGCCGTAACTACCCATTACGTCAACAGTATGGCGTCACGACATGACGTCAGCTCGCGAAACGTGATAGCAGCTTGCTGCTATCACCGGTGAAACAGGGCCCGGCTCGCGCGCGAGCCGACGTCATCGCCCGTGACGTCGGCTCGCGGAATGCGTCATACCCTGCACACAAAATAGCCGGCTGCCGAACAGCGCTCCGGTGATTGACCATGCATCTTTGCACCAAATTGCACCCATATCGGACCATATTTGACAAAACTGTGCGATTTGCGGCAAAAATGGCGTGTTGTGACCAATGTGACGCCTTGCGACAAACGCGGTGCATTTGTAAATTCCTATCACAAACTGTTGCAATTCAACGAAAATCAACACAATCTCTCGCCACTATTTATTCAAATTAAAAACTTGCCCATCCGCCAATGCGAGGCACCCGCCGCCGATCGGCATGCATTTAGTTCACAAAGTTTGTCGACCCCGGCTCTCAATGAAGATATAAGAACCGATCAAAATTTCATTGGCGTTCTTCCGGCGCGCCCCACGCGCGAACCGTGCACCCCAGCGAGTCGGAACCTAGAAAAGGCACTGACCCGCTCTGTCACCTATAAGGTGTGCAAATTTCAACCCCCTGCGATATACCGTCTGCCCTGTAGGCCGGCTAAATTGAACCCACTACACGGCGTGGCGGACAAACAAACAAACAGACGGATCCTGTTCAAATAGTAGTATAGACAAGCGGCTGCGCCACTTGCTTTGCTGCGTGGTAGGAAAAATTGCGGCACCAGCCAATTTGCTTTCGAATGGTGTTTGATTCATGTCGATGTGTCGTCTAGAAGCATAGATATGGACGGAAATGTGAAGAGAATTAAGAACTGTTCTGAGGGCGTTGTTGGATGAAATTTGGGTAATACGGGGTCAAGACGGGCCAAAGGGGTCAGCCCCGGTCACTTTGGGTCAGGCCAGGTCACATAGGTCACCTCTCGTCCGCTGGGATCAGCCCGGGCCACTGTTCTGCTTTTGTCTCCACCACTACCCCTACCCCTACCACTACCCCTACCACTACCCCTACCCTACCACTACCCCTACCCTACCACTACCCCTACCCCTACCACTACCCCTACCACTACCCCTACCACTACCCCTACCACTACCCCTACCCCTACCCCTACCCCTACCACTAAATCTACCCCTACCACTACTACTACTACCCATACTCCTACCCCTACCACTACCCCTACCCCTACTACTACTCCTACCACTACCCCTACCCCTACCACTACACTACCCCTACCACTACCCCTACCACTACCCCTACCACTATCCCTACCCCTACCAACACCGCTGGGTCATGTAAGGTCACAGAATAATTCGTGCCATTCCATTGCCCTTACTCGATTTTGTCGGAAATGGCGCTTTGTGACAAAAGTGGCGCATTGCGACAAACGCGGCGCATTTTCACCCGTCGATTCAGCATGCATTTTGGCACCAAATTGCACCCATATCGGACCATATTTGACAAAACTGTTCGATTTGCGACAAAAAATGACGCTTTGAGACAAATGTGGCGCATTGCGGCAAACTCGGTGCATTTATAAATTCCTATCACAAACTGTACCCATTGAACGAAAATCAACACATTCTCTCGCCACTTTTTATTCAAATTAAAAACTTGCCCATCCGCCAATGCGAGGCACCCGCCACCGATCGGCATGCATTTAGTTCACAAAGTTTGTCGACCCCGGCTCTCAATGAAGATCTACGAACCGATCAAAATTTCATTGGCGTTCTTCCAGCGCGCGCCACGTGCCAACCGTGCACCCCACCGAGCCGAAACCTAGAAAAGGCGCTGACCCGCTCTGTCACCTAGAGAGTGTGCAAATTTCAACCCCCTACGATATACCGTCTGCCCTGTAGGCCGGCTAAATTGAACCCACTACATGGCGTGGCGGACAGACAAACAAACAAACAGATGGATCCTGTTCAAATAGTAAGATAGATAATTTACACAATTACCTCGTGCACGTCATTTTATTTTGAACTCTAACAAATGGGACAACATGCAAACGACTTTGGTTGGAGATAAATGAAATTAACACGATAACACAATGCACCGTGTTGTAATAGCTTTGTCAATGTCAACATAGCAAAATTTATGCTTAAATGCACATGGGTAATGCAGGATTGTATAAAAAAAAGATGAAATGCTTAACCAAATGCGTACAGGAATCGCGTGACAGGTGGTCGGGCTGCTTGTTGCGCCGCAGCTGACCTTGGTCCTGGTGGACGGCGCAGAAGTTGGCCTCTTGGTGGCCTCCATCTCGCTGAAGACCCGAGCCAGTGTCTGGTGGGCACGGTGAGACCGCCCCGACTCAGGAGCCGAATGTACATCTTTCGCAAGCCGCCCTTTGTTTTCTTCCAGCCAAATCACGGCGTCTTCAAGGCGCCTTGCGAGTCCATGAACGTCTGCAACAACATCCAGCAAGCCTCATTAGCAAAACCCAGTAACCTTTGCCCTGGTTGGTGGGGGTGGGGGAGGGGGCGCTTTCAGAATAAACTCGGCAGTCTCATGAATGTATTAACCCGCGCCCCATAGGGGAAGGGGGCCGAAACGACCCACTGTCTTGTCCCCCATATATCTCCTAAACTACTGTCAAAAGCAAAGTAGACTACAGCATCACTAAAAAGTATTTTTGCATCAGCATAAAATTTGTTGAAAAGTGTGTTATCATAACTAGTAGTGTAAGGCAACGCTTACTGTTGCTGGTGATGTTGATGTCTTGGAGCACTTCGATCTGTTTCCGCAGTTTTCCGATGATCTCGTCCTTCTCCTTGCACTGGATGCAGTCCTAAGAATAATAACAGGTTAGAGCTTCAAACACAGCTCTTGAGACATTGACGGGGACATGAATTTTAAATGCCACATCAGTGCCACAGCAGATATTGTAGGTCGTAGGTTGAAGGTTGTCGGTTGATAGGATGTAAGTTGTAGGTAACTTGATCGTTTAGGTATGTCAAAACCGTTTTTCCATGCATCCTGATCAGATTTATTTACTGAACTGTAGCTTACCCTTGGCTCTCGCAGCTGCTCATTCTGCACCTCCCTGAGCACTTCGAGCGAGTGCGACTTCTCGTGCTGCCTCTGTGCCGCCTTTTTTTAGATGACCTGAAACAGCGAAAGATAATATGACTTTCAAGCATCATCACGACAATTGCAGCTGGGGAGGTTCATCAACACGGGGGTGGGGTGGGGGTGGGGCAGGGGCGGTGGCTAAACGCCTTAACCTGGGCAAACCTTGGGAACCAAAAGCAGCAGTGACATAAGCGAGCAATTAAAAGATTGAGATAGAAGCTTCTTATGAGTGCCTGAAACTTGAGTGCGAGATCAAGAGTTAGATCAAGACCGGGTTAAGCATCCGTAAATTGGGATTTGCAATATTGCATTTAGGGCTTTCAGTGACGGGAGGAAAGCCTGACCCGGCGCTTATCAGTTATCAGAGCTTGTTGCTTAAAGGGACTATCCCACCTTCTAAAATGTTGTTAAAACCAGTTAAATTGTGCCCGTCTTTATAGATTGGATGACCAGGAACACGGTTCTGGCATTTATTTTTCATTAAACATCTTAGGCTTCCCATATTCCAAACACAAACTTTCAAATATGTGACGTCACAGCCCAAAATTACCTCCTTCCCCAGGCCACATTACTGTCATAAAGCTGATTCTTTTTACTCTGTAGGCACCACAACAAAGTTCAGACCAAGTTTTAAGCGATTTTTCAACGAACAAACCCATTTAAATCAGAATGACTAAACGAGGTGACGTCACACTAACGGTCGCTCCATGTTGAAGATAGGGCCTTGTACAAGGCCCATTTTCAAATGAAGGGAACGAATTTCTTCAACACCAAGAGGCCGCGGGGGTTGCAACCTAGATAGATAGTGGTTTCTGAACCACGCCGCAAACTTGGCTATCTCAACTCAAACCCCATGTTAAAGGTGGGATAGTCCCTTTAATTGAATATACCATAAATATACCTACTTTTTTCCCAGTAGATGGAGCTTCATCATCCACCTTCCTGTACTTCCTCGCTCTGCACCCTTTGCCGTAGTGGTCATCATCCGAAGAATCATCGCTATCCTGAGCGCTTCCCAGGTACTGTTCTTCTCCTGCTTCTAACACCTTCTTCTCCATGGCATTTTGAGTCCCTGCAAAAGCAATTCATGACAATTAGCATCCAGGTAGCCGTAGCTGCATGATGTACAACACAATGGAAGACAGGAGGAAGTAATTTCTAAGGCCTGATATCTTCCAAGCCCCACTAATAATGTATGCAAATCAACATAAGCTCTGTGGCATTGCATGGTAGGAAAGACTTTGTAATAGCAGACTACAGAGCAGGCATGGTGTGGGATGCTACACCAGCTTGAAGGAAATATATCACTTTTAGCATAGGCTTTGAACTGGAATCGTTCCGCTGCCTATGTTCATGGATATAATTTATCTATAAATTTCTCTATTCATAATAGAGCCATTTCACATATTCATGTTTATCTACTTCAGACTTGATATGTAAAAATAAATGAGAATAAAAATGGTAAGCAAGATAAAGCATCAGAGGCCACCAAGAGCCACTGATGCAAGACACTTACCAAGATCCAACAAACGGGCGCGATGGTAGGTGGATCCCCACTTCACCTCAACCACCTCGCCGATTTTAGGCTCTCCTTTACTCTTCACGTGCTTCAGTGGTACCACGTTCCACTTCGGTGGGTCCTCCAACCATTTTACGAAGGCAAATTGGTTGGACCTGCTTCCTGAACATCCCTTCTCTACCATCGTTACACCGCGCAGATCAAAGAAAACTTGCTAACGACGTAATAACGATAAAAACTGCGAATCAGCCTGTCAGAATCAGAATCAGCCCTGTATGACCGCGTACAGGGCTCCCTGTATGACTGCGTACAGGGCTCCCTGTATGACTGTGTACAGGGCTCCTTGTAGGATTCCCTACATGGCCCAGTAGGATTCCCTACAGGGCTCCCCATCAAATGCCGTGCAGGACTCCCTGTAGGATCCAGTTCATGGTCCCCTGTTTGATGCCCTGCAGGGCACCCTGCATGATTCCATGTACAGCCACCCTGTGCGTTTCTCACCCTGCATGAAATCCTGTACGGCTCCTCCAACAACCCTGCACAACCCTGCAGGGACGTACAGGATTTTGGCACAAATCCTGTAGGATTTTTTCACTAGGGCCAGGCCTCGAACGACGCCTGGCTCGCGTGACAGGTGGTCGGGCTGCTTGTTGCGCCGCAGCTGACCTTGGTCCTGGTGGACGGCGCAGAAGTTGGCCTCTTGGTGGCCTCCATCTCGCTGAAGAGCCCGAGCCAGTGTCTGGTGGGCACGGTGAGACCGCCCCGACTCAGGAGCCGAATCCAGCCGGCGTCGTCGGGGACATCTTCTGTGATGGTGTCCGTGCGGGCGCCCAGCCGAGAGCACTTCTTGGCGATGAAGCCAGCTGCGTACGCCATGCCGTAGCGCTGCGCTCGGAGCTTGGGGTCGGCCACCTCGGTCGAGTCACCGTTGGGATCCAGTCCCAGCTCCTCCATGCACGCTGGTGGAGGCGGCTCCAGGTCTCGGATGGACTCGTCTCCATATCGTCCTCCTCACTCGTGCCCTCGAGTGAGGAGGAAAACAGGATTTGGGGGTACCCTAGGTTTGGTTCCTTCGGCCTCTGCACCCCCCCCCCCCCCCACGTGAAAATTCCTTAGACGAGGCCCTGACATGTATTTATACGTTGGCAATTAAAGTAGATCAAAAACTTTGTTATCAATGAATGTTTGCTCAGCTGTGGTTATGCTGCTTCAAATAAGATCTTTGCCATTGAGAGGTTTGAAACGAATATACTTAAAAGAAGAAAGTTTAACTTTCTGTTGGTGACGAAAAGTGCAAGATAAACTAAAAATACATCTCGAATGCTTACTGCTGCTTGTCCGGGGCATTCTCCACCGTGGCCATCACGGCCCCAAAGCGGCCGCCACGGGCCGTGAAGTTTGCGGCCGCCTCGCCGAAGGCCTGACACCACACGCCTTTGAAGAGCCGGTTGGCGTTTGACGTATGTAATTTGGTTCCGGTGCGTGTGATAAAGACCTGTAAACAGACGTCATAACATTTAAATTTCACAACATGAACACAATGGCTGAACTGATATAAACTGCACCATGCTAATGGAGCTTGCGAATGATGTATTTATTTACACACTCTTACTGATTCCTTCGTCCATTAACTCTTACACACAATTCATACTGACTGAAAAGCTAGCATGTAATGCATAAACATTATGGGCGCTTTAGATATGTGTAATACCTTATCACTGCAGCCGGCGCCGCAGCATACATAACTATTGCCGGCCTCTCCCGGTCGACGAAGAGGATCATCGGCTCCCACATGGCCTCTGGCACAGTCATGAGTCACGTCCAGGATCGTTGAGTCGGCAGTCGTGTAGTCGGTGTTCCGGATGAGCCGGGACTTCTTACCGTTGATGATGGCTGCCTGTGGAGATAGAAAAGGTAGAAAACATCATGAGTCTGAAAACAATGCAGCTTCGCGCAGCTAACAATGCAACAAGGGAAAACAATACACAATTGAGGAGAGAGCATGAAAGGTCGCTAATGGACATACCTTTGCGGCCTTCAGATAAGGAACCGTCAGACCCGTCACGTGTGAAGGCCGACCAACGCAGCTCACCAGCGCCGCCGTCATCAGGATATGGCGGCTTGCCTTAGCTGCCTGGTAGCTCACCGGCTCCACTGGCACCTCTGCCAACTTGTCTTTTAGAAGCTGACACTGAAACAAATGCAATTTATTAACAAAATCGTCATTATCACACTATCACACATATTTAACTGATGGACTGAAACAGGCGTATTTGGAAATTCCGACCTCGACGAGCATTTGTGGTAGAAAACCGCCACTTTGGTAGGGGAAACTACTGCTGTCTGCTACCATTTGCCATGTGTCGCTATAGCTGCGACATCTATGCATATACCGTAAACGGGGGTGACCTTGCCATGCTTTCAACTTTAGACGCTTGTATTATTTAAACTTGTTAACTTATTTGGATGACTCTATGTTCAAAACACGGATGAAGATTAACTCTTTGGGTTTTGCTATTATCGTATTTATATCTTGCCTAAAAATATAAATTTTTAAAGAAAATAAGTCGTGGCAAAGTTAAACTGAAAAAGGGGTGACTTTGCCACCATGCCAAATAATGTTTTTTTAACACACTAACAAATATTTTTCAAACATTTTTGTTCACTGTATGGGGAAGGGCCACCATCCCTAATTGTTTAATAGGAAGAAATAAAGCAATTCGAGGTTTTTTGCTCTTAAATGATGTACAAAAAGGGAGAGAAACATTACTTATATAATACATTATATTTGTTGAAAATAATTGACATTTCGTAGTAAATAGAAATTGAGAAATGGTTCAGAATAGATAAATAAGCAAAAATATTATTGTATCGGTACTATAGGACCTTGCCGCTTTCTTGCAGTGGCATTGAGAGGAACAGAAAGTGGACGTTCTTGCGGCAATTTACCGGCACTTTTATTATTAGCGTTTTGATCTATAAAATGGTACATATTTCTTCAGCCAGTCTTACTGGCAAACTCAGTAGTTGTAGATGATCTTGGCTGTGCTGAAAAGTTGGGCCCAGCTTCATCCACTTTTTTATTTTGGTAATTTGTGCCGTTCTATACTCCCACTGTGCATTCCTGTGTTAATTTTCAACACATAAACTTCTACTTTTTAATAACCAGTTTGGAGATCAAAATGATGCTACATTAAAAATATTTTGAATTGCATCGCATAAGTATTTCATTTTTGCATTGATAACATGGTGGCAGTCACCCCATGTGGCCTGCAATTCACTTGGAAAAATCGCCACCAAAATTTTTAGCTAAATGAAGTGACAAATGACAATTTTGTTGGATATGCCAATTTAACAATCTTGTCATGATCAACCATACCAAGTTTCAGCATCGGAGTTGGTCTAAAGCATGGCTAGATACTGAAAAGTTTGGACCTCTTCAAATTTGACCAGTTCAATGACTCCAATAAAATGAAGCCCTTAGCCCAGTTAGGTATTTAGTGGTAACTTATCTCTCAGTGATGGATATATTGGAAGGCCGATCAATTATCTTTCATTTGTGCATAAAAAAATTATTACATTCTTTGTAAAATATCACTGTAGGTCTCCCTAAAGGATTTTTCGAGAAGCATGGCAAAGTCACCCCGCGAGGCAAAGTCACCCCCGTTTACGGTACATATAAACCGCGACATCTGTGTGCGCTGATTCTAGTTAGCGATTAGCTAGGGCACCAGGGTGGATCCCATGTGGATCCAGACTTTCAGTTTGAGGCATGCCTCAAACTGCAAGGCCGGGGTGCGGAGCCGGAGCCGGCATATTTTGCCCGGAGCCGGAGCCGAATCCGCGAAACAATATAGCCCGGAGCCAGAGTTGTCAAAAAAGGGGACGACTCCGGCTCCTTTTTTTTGAAGAGGAAAAAATTATTGACCTAGTTCGGTTTGCCAAATCGATCTTGCAGTTCCAGGCAGTAAAACGTGCGGTATTCAAAATATGAAAATAGCCTTGTTGTGCAAATGCAGAAGCAACGTGCACCAATCCCATGTTCTTTTTTTCTGCCACCCGTATTTAATATGTACTGAGTATTGGAGCCGGAGCCGGAGCCGGCAGCCGCCATGGCATTTCACCCGGAGCCGGAGCCGGAGTCGGAACCGTCTGAAATTTCCGCGGCTCCGCATCCCTGGTTAAAGGGACCCTCCCACCTTAACATAAGTTTTGAGTTGAGATAGCCAAATTGGTGGCCATGGCCTGAAAATACCGGTTTGGGCATTCACAACATCGAAAAATGCTTTAATTCGGAGATATGGAATTTCAAACTTGCAGTTTTCGGATTCTAAGGGGCTAATGCATTGGTATGCCCCCTTAGAATTTGTGACGTCAGCGGAGATCTAACGATTTTTAAATCTTTTACTAAAACGTTTGGCAGCACGCGGTGGTATATGCTGCTTTGCGCGCAACAAATGCCGCACTTTCAAATAAAGTCGCTAGGAACAGCGGAGATCCCAAAAAGTAAACAAAAGTAAAAGTCTAATATCTTGAAAACCGGTGAATATTTTTCGATGAAATTTGTTAGATATTCATTTTTGCTCTTTCTGAACCGAGCGACATCATTTTCATGCCAATTCATTAACTTTTTTGAAGCTGGGAAGGTCCCTTTAAAGGGACTGTCCCACCTTTGCATTAGTTCTGAGTTGAGATAGCCAAGTTGGCGGCCTGGTTCAGAAACCACTACATATATATCCTGGTCGCAATATCCTCAGTTTCGTGGTGTTAAAGAAATTCGTTCCCTTCATTTGAAAAGTGGGCCTTAGCTAAGGCCCTATCTCTTAAAGGGACTATCCCACCTTCTAAAATGTTGTTAAAACCAGTTAAATTGTGCCCGACTTTATAGATTGGATGACCAGGAACACGGTTCTGGCATTTATTTTTCATTAAACATCTTAGGCTTCCCATATTCCAAACACAAACTTTCAAATATGTGACGTCACAGCCCAAAATTACCTCCTTCCCCAGGCCACATTACTGTCATAAAGCTGATTCTTTTTACTCTGTAGGCACCACCACAAAGTTCAGACCAAGTTTTAAGCGATTTTTCAACGAACAAACCCATTTAAATCAGAATGACTAAACGAGGTGACGTCACACTAACGGTCGCTCCATGTTGAAGATAGGGCCTTGCACAAGGCCCATTTTCAAATGAAGGGAACGAATTTCTTCAACACCAAGAGGCCGCGGGGGTTGCAACCTAGATAGATAGTGGTTTCTGAACCTCGCCGCAAACTTGGCTATCTCAACTCAAACCCCATGTTAAAGGTGGGATAGTCCCTTTAACTATTAACGGCCATTTGATGACGTCATTACTCATTTGCCTTTTGAACGCCTGTCACACATTCAAGTGAAATATCACTTGATTTACGAATAAGCCAATCAGAGACACTCTTGTGTTATTGTATGAGCCGCGTCATATTTGAGAGCAAATATATTTGCTGCCAAATTTCCCCTCACATTGACATGAAGTAAATCCTTCATTACGTCACAGATTCGATATAAATGACGTCACGATGAAATATGAAAGTCGCAATATCTCAAAAAGTATACGATGAAAACGCGTAAAAACTTGCAGAATTCGTCGAAATATCATGAGTAACATTTCCGAATCCTAAACGTGGGATAGTCCCTATAAGGGTGGGGGAACTCATGGCCAGCCCGATCCCCTGCAGTTCGGTTGCTGAGCGGGGGGGGGGGGGGGGAAGAAAGGTCCAATATGATGCCACGCCTATTGCCTATAGGTATATATACAGGGGCGCAGCCAAGGGGGGGGGGCACACTGGGCTTTAGCCCCTCCCAAATCTAGGAGGCGCCCTCATCCAGGGCGCCGAAGGTGCCTTTCTAATGTCCAGCACTCTATACACCCTCGACGGTAAGCCATTGCGGTACACCATTCGGCACTGGCGCCCAGGTTTACAATTTTATATCTCTGTGGGTGAAGATGCACCCACAATCCTGAACTGCCGGATATCCACTCCACCCCCAGTCTCCTGACCATCTAGCGCCCTCATCATCTTCAGCGCCCTTCTGTCTGTTCGGCGCCCTTCTGATCTGTCGGTGCTCTTCTCGCCATTCAGCGCTCTTATGGCCTATTGGCGCCCTTTTCACATTCGGCGCCCTCTGGGCTGACCAGTCGGAGCCCTAATGATCTTACCACACAGCATCTTCCTGATCTGTCTGCGCCCTCCACACTTGTAGGCGCCCTCTTGACCTGTCAGCGCCCTCCTAATCGTATTATATTTTAGCGCCCTCCTCACCGTACAACGCCCTCCGGACCGGCGCCCTTTGCGTTTAGCGCCCTCCTGACAAGTCGGTGCCCTTTTCACCGTAGAGGGCCCTCCTGAGCTGTAGGCGGCCTCCTGACCGTACATCGCCTTCCTCACCTGTCCGCGCCCTCCTCTTTAACCCGCGCCCCGCTGGGGGGGGGGGGGGGCAGAATCTGCCCCCCTCCCGTTTTTCGCCAATAACTTCTAAACGCGTTACGCCAGCGACGTTAAACTTTCAGTAGCCTATCATACATCAATTTGACACGTTCCCTGTAAATTTGAGCGAAATCTGTCGGTTTTTTTTTTAGAAATTGACGTTTTAGTGACGTCATGTTCGCCATTTTCGCCTCAAAAACGGCAAAATTTCAAACGCCGCTAACATCTTCATTTTTAAAGGAATCAAGACGTGACAAAAAGGTTATACGTGATTCTACTTTGTCTATCAAATGGCTATCTCGGTTTTTTGAAAATTTTGGATTTTGACCCATTTTTTCTAAAAAAAAAACTGACCTTTTTGGGAAAATAGTTATAAAATCCAAAATTTTGAGTGCATCGAAAAAACCGGTCAGATAAGTGGTCAATGTGCACCTACATACCAAATTTTAGAAGAATCGGTTCGAAAATGTGGGAGTTTTTCAAAATTTTATGACGTCACGACACACAAAAATTTTAAAAAATGATTTTTTTGAAAGTTTTAGGCCTTGTACGGAAACAAAAATAGCACCATTCGATTCGTCGTGAAAAACTGCTGATAGACACCTTTTTAGGCCTTAACAAACAACTTCAAAATTTGACCTCATTTGACCTGACCTTGACCTGACCTCGACCTGAAATTCATCCAGAGGTGGTACATATCACTTATTGAGTGTGCCTAATGAATTCTATGAGTAATATGACCCATAAAACATGTGTCGCACATGCCCTTTTCTATATTTTGTTTTTGGTGCCCTGACCTGACCTGACCTGACCTTGACCTTGACCTTTGAATGACATTGTATGCAACGAATATTGTCTTGGTAGTCTAAGAACACGTTTTGGGCAATCAGTCTCAGTCCATTTTTCGGCAACTACGGTGCAAGGCCGATACTGTAGAAACTTGCATTTCGTACCCTTGACCTGACCTTGACCTGACCTCTGACCTACTTAAGCAAAAAAATTTGGGCTCTCAAAGACAAAGGGACATGTTCATGTCTAACATGGGGAATGGAGTTGAGATAGCAGTTTTGCTCGTTATATGCTAAAACCACATAATCCGGAGCCATTCGTCTCAAAAATAATAAATTGACAGCGCTAGAGAGCAATTTCGGTGGTCTTTACCAGATATGACCAGAGGTGTATGAAGTCAGCAAGAAAAAGCCTAGATTAGGCAAGGCAGGCGCGGCGCGGCCGCCCGCCCGCCCTGCCGCCCGCCTGCCTGCAACGCAGCAACGCAAGGCAGGCAGTTGCTTTGCTTTGTTTTGCTTTGCTTTGCTTTGCTTTGTTGACAAAATAACCTAGACCTGAACTGGTGCTTTATTTCAGAAATAATTTGTATCCCTTTCAGTCAATTAACTTTTTAAAAAATCACAGCATTGCGAATACTCACTGGTAACTTACAATTTTACTAGAAAACAGCTTTGCTTCATCAACAACGGCTTCGGTTGAACGGCCTTGCTTGACAGCAAAGCTACTGGAAAAATAAAAACAAACGCGCAAAAAGGTTTTTCTTTTTTTGGTTTCTTATTGGTATCTTGGTTATTGTTTGTTTGCCTTGACAACCAGCAAACAAAAACGCGCAAAATTATGAGGAAAGCCTTATTGAGTTCTCCAGCTTGAAACGTCTAAGAATATTACCCAATCAGAAACAAACATTCTGAAGAGCTTTACGACGATTCGCGCTCCATCTGCCCGTGTCGTCTCAACATGCTGCTTGCGGACAATCTTGAACACAATTTTTAAAAAGACCAATCTGTTAGGCGAATCCGTTCCCGTCAGCTTGAAATCTAGGCTTTTTCTTGCTGACGTCATATACCTCTGGTCATATCTGTTAAAGACCTTGGCGATCTGGTGAAGACCACCGAAATTTCTCTCTAGCGCTGTCAATTTATATTTTCGAGACGAATGGCTCCGGATTATGTGGTTTTAGCATATAACGAGCAAAACTGCTATCTCAACTCTATTCCCCATGTTAGACATGAACATGTCCCTTTAAAGGTAGTGTGCCACCTTTGAAAGATTTCCCATTTTATTTTTCCTAGGATAAGAAGCTTCTGTTTTTACCTAATATCGCAAAAAAAAATCAAAAATGGGCCTGGAATAGTGCCTTTTTCGCCTAAAAGTTTATCGGTTTTTCGATATGTATAACAACTGTAGTGGGCTGACCTGCAAACAGGCGTCGGCACACTCGTCGGCAACAATCGCGAATGCGGCGCACATGTGACAATAAGCAAAGGTCATTATAGAGTTACGACGTACGAGAATGAGTTATCAGCATTCAGCTGTCTAATCGTAGAAAACACAATGTCGAGCCTTAAACTGTAAGCCTGTATTGGTATTGTTTCTTTTATTTGGCTGTCGAACATTATTTATGGTTTGAAATATGATTTTATGTAAAATAATTGATATGAAAAAGCCGTCTCTTAAGTTATGACCCCATTTCACCACACGCAAGTGGCAGAAATGACAATGATCAGCTGACGCATTTTTCTTGGCCGAAGTCAGAGCGCGCGGCCCGACGCACCACCATCGCACCACAAAGTATGAGCAGAAGCCGCGCCCAAAGCCAGGGCCCCGGTAACGTGAGGTAGGCGAGTCGGGGCAGCGTGCGCTGACCCAAGCCGGGGCCGCAGCTTTGGGCGCGGTCTACCGCATCCCCGCGGGCAGCCCCGGGCTATCACATGACACCGGGAGGACGCGCGGCCCCGGCTTGGGTCAGCGCACGCTGCCCCGACTCGGCTACCTCACGTTACCGGGGCCCTGGCTTTGGGCGCGGTCTACCGCACCACCTAACAGGCGTGTTCGAAACCGCAGGAGATGATGATGAACGGGTTTATCGAAACTTGATTGGATGAGCATATCGGTAATAGCGATTTCACTGTGGCCGTTTTCACGACGGAATAGCAGGCATCTATTTAATCCCCATTTGATCCTTTGGTTCCTCAGGAATTTTAGTAGTTCTTTTTAGTAGGTTCCCCAGCTTTCGAATGAATGGTGCGTTAGTTTGCTATTTTTCTATTAAATATCACATCGATTTACTTTATCTAAGGATTTATCACTAATATCAACATAAAGCGTAAGCACAATTATAAAATTATGAAATTATTAAATACTAGTACAATAGTTAAAAAAGATACTGAATTGCCAGGCTACAAAGAATATATTCATTTATGGCGCACGACAGACATTTAGAAAGCAGCGCCCTGTTTTATTGCACGCTGCTAGCCGCTTCCATTGGGTTTTGCAGGCCGACGTCATTGGTCGTTACACGTATGATGTCACGCGACTTGTGGCCTGTCACGGCTCTTTAATGATCTCCACTAAATGAATGCAACAATGGCCTTTTAAGTTGATCTCTGTGGCCATCTGTCTATGGAGCGACCAATATGAAAGTTGGGTGAATTTACCGGGGTTACATGACTATGAGCAAGCAAATGTGTATCAGGAATGGATTTAGGTGGAGAATTGCGCTGGACCATGAGTGCTCGAACGCTCCCAATTCCACGCCGGTTTGGCTTTGGAGCCGAGACAGGCGATGCGGGTCAAGGTCACCGCTGGGGTAACGGTGGATTGGCTGCGCCCGAGCACCCGTAACGCGGCACAATTCTCCATCTATGGATTTTCCTATTCGCTCAGCATTGTGATAGGCGTTCGTAATAGCATTTACTCTGCTCATGTACCTATCCCCGGTTATTTAAAAGAAGTTTTTGTGGGGGAATATCACGGCTTTAGGTACTCGGTGGCCCTATTCACGACTTTCAAAGAATGCTCCGATAACTAAACACCGCACAGACCTACTGCATTAGTGAATCTGACAGAAGGTCTGTGGAATTACATACCCCCTCACCACACCCCTAAAAACTCATCCAGTGTCCAAAACCACTTTTATCGACTCGCCAAAAAAAAAAAAAAAACACACACACACACATACACACACAAAGCATGGGGCATGTCAGCTCTCAGTTCATTTATCATTGTCTTTACCATGGTTCAATTGCATTGCGCGATTTAAAGCACGTGAGTGCCTATATAGTATATATGTAGAAAATAATATCTACAGCAAAACATCCAAAATTACAAAGGCTACAATGCTTAAAAAGTAGGTTCATCAAGGAAGCCTATTTTTACTTGCGTTGTGTTGCCAACCATGCGATTCCAACGCGGGCTATTCGCAACGTCTGTTAAGGCACGTTAACAGCTGACAAGCCGCCACCGCTGCCACTTATTCATAGATGGTTGATATCGCAGCTTGGGCGTCAGCAGCGCGGCCCACAACGCGTCGGCGCCAGCGCACGCAGCTGTTGGCACTCGGCAGCCGGTGTTGCGACTTAACGGCCGGCCGGCCCCATGCGGCCCCCGCCGAAGTTAGTTGGTAGCACTGCTGCTCCACGGCGTACATTTCCTACCAGCCCATAGGGTTTACATGTTAAATGGCCTGTTTTCGGCAAGCGATATCTCGGTCAACCTTTGAAGGAATCAATGGTTCTTAGTCTCAAATGATAGATCGATGAACTTTCTTTCGACAATTCCTCTACCATTTTTCACGAAACCCAGCCGATCTTCGACGGCGTACAGGGTAAAGATTTCTCTGCACGCCAGCACCCGCGATCCGGCTCTCCGGTCGTCGGCGCGCGGTCCTCGGTAGCGCAGTCGGTAGCGTATCGGGCTACGGATCCGAGGGTCGTGAGTTCGAATCCTGGGAGTGCCGCGTGATTTCGGCTAGAATTGAATGATGTAGATTCTTGAATGTTTGCATAATCGATTATTCATAGCTAATTGAATGTATCTGCCCACTAATCGGCCCCTAAAACCTGTTATTAAAGAAATTTAAAAAATGATTGTCACGTGCGCGTCACGACTGCCAACCATAAGCGCTACCATATTCTAGTTTGAACTAAGTTTTTGCTAGTCCCGACCACATATAGTAGGTTTTCTAGTAGTTATACTAGAAATTCCTACCAAAGTTCGTCCTACCCTTCACTCAATATACCCTGGCCCCATGAAGGAGAAGCTCTTGGTGAAGCTTTGTGATCGCCTCATAGCCGCCTTGGATGTCATCTTTCTTGGCAGATCCATCCGTTCAGATGGTACGGTGCAGTCTGGATAAAGGACGAAGTCCAACGCCGCTAACCCCGCGACCGCCACCCCACAACGTGGCCGCAGACCGAACGGGCGTGAGGGCCGTAAGGGCCACCCCGCCATCCGGTAGGTGGCTGAGCAGCCGGGCGCAGCGGCGCCTGGGCGGCGGCCGCGCTGAGATGAAGTCCCAAACCGCCATGTCGCCATCACCGCCATCACCATTGCTGCAGCTGTTCCCAACCGCCTCAATCGCCGCCGTTTTGCCAGCAGTCGCGCCGCGGAATGGCAGAAGCTCCAGAGTAGCCTCCAGCGCCCCTCTCCGCACGTGTGCAGGTGCACTGCGGCCGCCGGGTCCGACGTCCAGGCAGAACATGATATTTCCATGCTGCTCCGACGGTGGGCTGGTCTTGTTTGGGCGTTCCTCCACTGTGACGTCGGTCACGCCTGCCCCGGCCAGGGCGCAGAGGCCGACGTGTCACCATCCGGTTGCAGTCCTCAGTCGGGTCGCAACGTGTACCTCTTCCGCAGCGTGGAGCGCGCTCCCGCTGGGCAGCGATACAGCCAAAAGTAGCATAGCATGCGGGCGGCCAGCGCTGCGCCGGACAGCGGACCCATGCCGGGGGTATGCCGGTCTCGGCCATTAGCGGGGTCGTCGGGGCCGAGGCTGTACATACAGCTGGTGACCGCGTGAGCCGCCAATCGAAGCTCACGGCTTATAAGCTCGACGCGGGCATCACACGCCGTCCCGATGGGAGCTCCACGACGCCGCCGCGAACTCCAGCGCGGCTCGCAGCGCGAAGACCAGTACGGACGGCCGGGGCAAACGGCGTGCGGGAGTCGCAGGCGACGTTTTGCGGACAGAAAGGGTTGGGCATAAGCTGGTCGGCAGGACACTCTTGAGCCGAGCCTTTGATGTAATTACAGATGATCCAGAAGCATGCACAAAATTCATGACACACTATTCTCATTTATGTATTTGCTACATATGATATGATATACCAGCTCATGATCAGTGACGCATTCTGGGCAATATGTTCTAAAGTGAAGTAACTGAAGTTACAGCTTAAAAGCTTAAAAAAACAGCTTAAAAAACACACACACACATTCGATAGCTTATGAGAATAACATGCCTTGTGTGCTTAATGCAGGAAAATATTTTTCCACTTTTTTAGAAACAGCAAAAGAGTTGTCAACAAGCCATGTCAACTATCTAAACAATTTTTATGGAAACTGCTCTAGCTAGCTTAAAGTTCCACAACGTTTCCGGAGCACCGTACCCAAACTCAGTTCATGTTACAAGAAAAAACAGTAATAATGCCTCCTAATTTTGAATGAAATATAGGTATGAGTAATTTGATTTGGAAAGCAACAAATTTCCGCACATCATTTTAGCAAAATTACTATTTTCTTCAGCCATCAGGTTACACAAAACTATAGTAAACTTACTATTAGTAAACTTTATGATCTAGTTTACACAAAACCAAAGCCCCGATTTTAACAAATGTAGATAAAATTTAAACAATTTAAAAAAATGTATCGTGGAGAAAATGAAAAGTGTAGATTTGTAAAGCCGGGATATTTCAATTTCACGGATTAGGCACTTAAAGAAATATCTTCACCTTTCTTTGAGCCACCAGCCTTCACCCAAGTTTTACACGAATGTAGTGAAGCAGACAATGTGGCAACTCAAAATTGTGATGGTTTGAGATAATTATGACGGTAAAAGAAAAAGCAACACAAGGTTCCTTACCCTCGTTTTTTTCACATGGGTTCAGATGAGGCTTCAACTGTTGCCAACCTGAGGAGCTATAGGGACTTGAGCTTTCCAAAACTCAATTTCTAAAGGCACTGAGCAGTGTTTGGCTTTCACACGAATGCGATAGTAAGTTATATGAAGTTGACAAAGCAAGCAAAGCAAAGCATGATGCCCCGCGCGTCCGCCCGCGACCACGCCCCGCGTCCGACTCCCGACCGCCGCGTGACCCGAGGCGCCCGGCGGTCACGTGACCTACCGGCCGGGACTGCAAACGGCCTTCACCACCATTCTTGTATGACGTCATATCCTACTGAGGTGCTGATTGGTCGGAATTAGATACCTGAAGGTAATTATCTGCCGTAGTTATTTTTGTTTCATTGTTTTGCGTGTTTTCTTATATGAAATGTAATTAAAAAATGTGTCATATTTTAATCACCATTAAAACATAACTGAATAGGTATAAAAGAGAACTCGATATATACTTTCCTTGTTTTTAAGAATTCCGGAATTAGATACCCGAGGGAGCAAAGAGGGAGCAAGTTGCCACGCTGATTTAATACCTCATAGTCGAAAGGTGGGCTACTAGAACCAAAAATTGCTGTGTTTGTAATAAATAAGTGATTTGAGGGCAAAAAATGCCCGGATTTAAACTTCTAAAATTATTTTGAACATAAAATATTTCAGTTTGAGGGATGTTAAGGCCTCTAAGGGTAGGTACTTTTTAGGTATCAAATAAGTTCCTCTGCGAAAGTTCCGTCGTGAAAACGGCCTGTGTGCATTTATTGTTCATAGTGGTGTGAAATGTGGTGGGGTACGACCGACAACCCGTCGGAGCGAATTTCGCACTGGGGTACTCAAAATTTGAAGAATTTAAGACGTTTCCATGAGTTTTGAAGGTATGGATAAGTTCTAAAAATCCGGTTCTCCTTATCTGGGCCATTAACTCCATACGGTCCAGGAAAGCTGGCACACTACCTTTAAGCAATGTGTATTTATCAGAATAGCAGCAAGCATGTAATAAGGTGGCTCTTGGATGACAAGCCCGTACATCCAATCAGTGCAATAATCATGGGATTAACAGTCATGGCGCAGCAATGCTGAATAAGTGAATACACAGCGCATAGCGAAGCAAAGGTGTTGTTTACAACTCCTGTCTATCCTGCACGGATAGAGAAGCAACAGATCCATCACGAACTGAAATGAAAGTAGGTACATTGGAACAAATATTTAGCGTATAATGTTGAAAATAGCCGGCCAAAACGAAGTGCTCTAGTTATAAACATATGCAAATAAACTGTTCATGCTTACGTCAAATCGCTTTCTCTGGCAAACAATCCACAATTAGATGCGATGCTCAGTAATCAATATAATATGCCTAAAATACTAAGATATTGTTTCAAGCCTCCGTGCTCCGACCTCTCAGTGATACTGAATTGGCGCCTGTGATGGATGTTAATTGCTAAATGTCATTTAAGACTATGTAGCACAAAAAACCTTATCACTCCTTGATTATGAGAAGGGCTTCGTAAGCACTCACATGCGTCAAGGCGTGCCTAAAAACACACACATGACACACAAACCTTTTCAAGGGCCTTCTACGAATATGTAGCTTATAGTTTCGCAAGCAAACGCTGTACCCTGACCCTTGCTTGAATATGATTAAAGTTAAGCGAGTGCCGAGCACCTGCGGCCCATTCCGCCGGGGGGGGGGGGGGGGGCGGCGCGCCCCCGGCCGGCGCTCAGCTCACTGCTGCGCCGCCACGCTCATCTCACTTCTGCGCCGCCACGCTCAGCTTACTTCTGCGCCGCCACGCTCAGCTCACTGCTGCGCCGCCACGCTCAGCTCACTGCTGCGCCGCCACGCTCAGCTTACTTCTGCGCCGCCACGCTCAGCTCACTGCTGCGCCGCCACGCTCAGCTCACTTCTGCGCCGCCACGCTCCTGACGACGCCGTCCAGGGCCACGGAGCGGATGGTGGAGCAGATGGGGGCGGCGCAGAGCGGGCACCGGTCGGCGCCCCGGTCCCGGGTCTTGGCCAGGCAGCCGGCGCAGAAGGTGTGGCCACAGCCGAGGGTGGTGGCCCTGCGGAACAGCTCCAGACAGACGGGGCAGCGCAGCTCCTCCGACAGACGGCCGCCGCCGGAGGAGGGCGGTCCCGCTCGGGCTGGTCCGGCGCCGGCCCGCTCAGCCCCGGACACCCCTGGCTTGTGGGGACATTCCTTCTTGACATCACCGTCGCCTTTTGCGGCTTTTCTTTTCAGCTGAAACAAGTAGGTAATTCATCTCAAACACCTAAATTGTAGTAAATTCCAACTAAATGATAAACATTTTGGCTCACATTCCTTGGCGCATTATCACGAATTTGGTCTATTTCGGCCGAACAGCATCTATGACATGATAACTCGATAACTGTTTTTTATGTCAGTGCATGAAACCTAACCCTATAGGAAACCAAAATTAGAAGTTCAAAGGGTGAATGCAAAGGTACACAAATGTCTTCTTAATCTGTCCAACTTTTCGGATGTACCTATTTTTGAAAACTTTTTGGAGGATGGGCTTAGCATTCAATGTAACTACACCGCTTGTCAGATAAATTAAAAGTACAAAAAAAAACAAGCAAAATACCTCATCAGCCCATAACACTTGTCTAAGTACAGTATTCGATTCAAATGATTCAAATCCTATCACTGGAAATGCACAAACATGACCGTAACTGACCAGCGACCAAGTCAGCTTTAACTATCGTAGAGGTTTCCGTTTTTACAAAGCCAATAGCAGTCGATATTTTTTCCAATAAGGTACTGCGCATATGCTGTGCATTTGGTCACGAGTGCCTGATTCACCACTGAGCGACACAGTCCGTGCAGATAGGACACATCCGGGTGGGTTTTTTTTTTTTTTTTTTTTTTTGAATTTTGCATCCCCGCTAGCTCAAGGCTATAGCAGGGGAAGGGAAGTTACTTGCTGGCAATTAGCCAGATCTTTTGTTTTACGTTAAGTTAATTGCCGGCTATTTGATTCCGGCCCAAGAAGCAAAGCAAAGACAAACTTTACGTTAGACCGGCTCATGTGGCGTCCGGTGGGTTGCAAAACAAAGGGAAGGCCAAAAAGGTGCCAGATAGGCGAGACCGATAAATTTGGTTACTTACATAGAGCTTGCTGCTGAGACTTGCTGCTGATTTGTGTGCTGTTGTTTGGTGTGTGTTGTTGTGGGGTGAACTTTACCAGGAAAAGTCCTAACTAGAAAAAACCTGGTGCCTAACCAAGAGGGCAAAAACCTGTGCTTTCAGCCAAAGTACACAGTAAAAAAGCCCTTTCTTTAATTACGTTATATTACGTTACGTTATATCGCTAATGTGTATGTGTGTTTGTGGAGCTATCACCTTCATCCACTCCCGGGGGGCCATGGATGCAAGCCACATAGGCCGCGCCCGGGGTGTCCGGCGATAGCTTCTGTGTCTCGAGTGGGCCTCAACCTTTAAGAGGGATCCCTGTCGAGAACCGCGAGCTTACACACATATATATACACTTGGAAAAGGCGGCGAGAACGAAAACGAATGGAAGCAAAACGAAGCGGATGGAGACGACGATGGGAGATCATAGGAACATCTATATACTGTGTGCAGGGTTTCGATCATATGCTATTGATGAGATTCGAATCACTGAGGAAGGTAAAGAGAAGATCAATTAGATCTGGATGATCATCACCCAGGAGAGTTGGGAGGTCCAGGCTGAGGTTGTGTGTGTTTGTGTAGTGAATGATGGGTTGACGGTATTGGTCGTAGTGTGGGCAGTTGATAAGAAGATGGGCAATGTTGAGTCGGGTGTGTGCGGCGCAGTGTGGACAGCTCGGGGGTGGCTCATTTTTTATGATAAAATTATGTGTTATCTTTGTGTGTCCCAGCCTCAATCTGGCTAGAACTATTTCCTTGAGTCGATTATCTTGATTAGAGGATGTGAAGTTACCAATTTGCGGGTGGATTTCAAAGAGGTGATCGTAGGGAAGAGCCTGCCAATCATACTGGCGCAGGTCTCGGAATGCGTGATTGAGGTGCGAAAGGACGTCTTGATGTGTGCAGCGATCTTCTTTACGATTAGAGAGATTAAGGCTTTGTTTGGCAAGCTCGTCGGCTTTTATGTTTCCCGGGATGCCACTATGTCCCGGGATCCATAGAAGTCTGATGTTGTATCCTATCTTGTTTAGGTGAATTATGTTCTTCTTAATCAGGTATACAATGTGGTGATCGGTTTGATTCTGTGATTTGATTGCTGAAAGTGATGATGCAGAATCAGTGCAGATCACGCTGTTCTTAACTTTTTTCTTTTTGATGTGGTTGATAGCATGAAGTATAGCCGCAAGCTCGGCTGAAAAGATAGAGAAAATATCCGGAAGACGACTTGATTTTCTATAATGGGTAGAGAAGACTCCTGCTCCCGATTTGCCGTTCATGACGGATCCGTCAGTGAAGTAGAATGTTGTTTGTTGATGTGTGTGGCAATATTCGAGAAAGAGTTGATTTACTTCTGCTACTGTTACTCTATCTTTTTTCTCATTGAAGAGGTATTCTATATTATCTATGCGATCAAGGTAAGCTGATGTTATAGGGGGAATTGGCAATATCGTTGGAATGGTTATTTGAAAGTGATCAATTACTTTCTGGAGGCGACGAGAGATCAGTGGATAGCGACGCTGATTTGTGAGTGACGAGTTCGATTGGGTGTTTGTGAGAATTTGGTAGGCGATATCATCTGGGCGGGAGGCACATCGTATATAATAGCGCAGCAATAGGAATTTGCGGCGCCTGTCAAGTGTGGGTATGTTTGTGTCTATGTGTAGGGCTGTTATTCTCGTAGTGCGCAGGGCACCAGTGATGATTCTGAGTGCATGATTCTGTATTGTTTGCAATTTGTCAATACGGCTCGAAGCTATATCATCGTATAAGAAACTGTTATAATCCAAGATTGGACGAATTAGGGTTACGTAGAGTTGCGTGAGTGTGCGTCGGTCCGCACCCCACTCTCTGCCTGCGATGCATTTCATAATGTTGATTCTTCTGGTACACCTTTGTACCAGATCCTCAATGTGAGCGTTGAAGTTAAGTGTGTAATCAAGAGTTATTCCTAGAAATTTGTGTTTTTGTACGTATTTGATTGGTTTGTTATCTAGTGTGAGGTTTCGCCATTTGTCACGTAGCAAACGATGGGAGAATATCACTGCGACAGTTTTGCTAGGTGAGATCGTAAGACCCCACTTCTTGCACCATTTTCCTATGTTATTAAGTGAGTGTTGTATTTGTTCGATTCCAATGTTAGGGTTATGATGAGTATACCAGAGTGCTATATCATCAGCGAAGAGAGAGTGCTTAATATAAGATGGTTCATCATCGAAAATATCATTTATCATTATTGTAAAAAGTGTAGGCGATATGACGCTGCCCTGTGGTAGGCCATGTTCTAGAATGTAATCTGGTGAGTATGTGTTCCCACACCTAACCTGGAAGGTGCGATTAGAAAGAAAGTTACTGATGAAATGGGCCATATGACCCCGTATGCCTGTTTTGTGTAGTTTAATAAGTAGAGCTTTCCTATTTACTTTGTCGAATGCATTCTTGAAATCAATGAATACTGCTACTGTGTACTCTTTACGTTGGTATCCAATCTGTATCGAGTTAATAAGATGTGTTATGTTACTGGATACTGACTTCCTAGGTCTGAAACCTGTTTGATATGGAGAAAGTAGATTATTGGACTCCAGATAAGCCCTAATTCGTCCATTAACCATTCTTTCCATTAGTTTTGATGCACAGCTTGTGAGGGATATTGGGCGATAGTTTGCAGGATCAGAATGTTGTTTGCCATTTTTAAGGATTGGGATAATAATGCTTCTGCGCCAGGATGGAGGATATGAATTGCTTTCCCAGAGTTGATTTATATTAGCCAGGAGAGTTGCAAGTCCAGATTCAGGGAGATTTTTGAAGAATTGGTATGCGACCTGATCTGGACCGACCGATGTGTTTCCACATTTGGCAAGTGATGAGTGAAGCTCATGTTCTCTGAATGGTGCATTGTATTGTTCGTTGTTGAGTGAGTCGAATGAGAGTGTACTGAGGTGTGTATCAAGTGTTGTGGTGAATTGTGGTGGGTATTGCTGTTCAGAAGAGATATTGGCGTAGTGGATAGCAAATTGAATAGTTACTTCTGAGGGGATGATGTAATGTATGTTGTTAATGTAAAGGTGGGGTACCTTGTAATAGGTGCGATTTTTAGTGAAACATTTAATCAGGGACCATATTTTCGAAAGAGGGGTAAATCTATTAAAAGTGTTAGCAAATTGCTGCCAGCTTGAGCTTTTGGCTTTCAAAATAATTTCACGTGATTCTCGTCGAGCCTTACGAGCTGCCTCCGCGTGTGCGTCGCAGATGCATCGTCTAAAGACACGCATTGCTCGCCTTCGAAGTGCTACTGCTCTTTGACAATCAGAGTTCCACCAGGGAGAATTTTTGTCGGGGATGGGGGGTCGAGTGAGAGGAATCGTCTGTTTTGCTACGTTAAGTATCATGTCAAGGAAAGTGTTAATATCTTTAGGGGGATCTCTACATTCTACGTTAATGTGTTTTTGAAAGTTAGCCCAGTCGGCTTTCCGAAAATTCCATCTTGGGAGAAAGTTAAAATTTGTTTGTTCTGAAGGAACATCAATGGAGTAGTGCAAAGGGAAGTGATCACTAAATAGGGTATCATCTGCAGTGTATTGGGTGAAAAGTGTCGCGGTGTTTGTGTCCGTGATAGCGAAGTCGATGACGCTATGTGAGGCTTCGCCATTAGAAATGCGTGTGTGTGTTGGTACTCTGTTTGTGAGTGGTATCAAATCAAGTGCTTCTATTACGTTAAGTATTTGTCTGCCTCTTGTGTCGTTGCGTGTGCATCCCCATGTTAGATTTTGGGCGTTAAAGTCTCCCATTATGATAAAAGGAGGGGAGAGCTGGGAAATCAATTCGGAGAGGTGTTTAGGATTCAATGGGTAGGTAGGAGAGAGGTAGATAGAGAGGACAGTTAGATCACGCTGTGCTATTTTTACTTTAGCTCCTACAACGTTAAGCGTTGTATTGAGATGAATTTGGTGGTGCAAGATATTATTTGAGATATAAAGCGCCGAGCCGCCCCGGCGAGGTGTTTCATTTACGTTATCTGTATACAAAGAATAGTCACGAATGTTGAAATTATAATTAGTCGAGTCAGAGTCTATGAATCTGGTTTCTTGGATGGCGGCAAGTAACGGTTTATTATGCAAGATATAGTTCTTGAATTCCCCCCAATGAGATACCAGCGAGCTGGTATTCCATTGGAGAAAGAATTCAGGCCGTGATTGTTCAGTGTGGTTACTCATGTTTGCTTATTTATGTTTTACTGAGAGACGGGTCATGGGTCGGGCCCGGCTGACCGTCTCCGACTCTGTGTCAGTGGCGGGTTCAGATGGTGGGATGGAGTGTGTGGGTGAGGTGGCAGCGCTGGTCCCCGTCCGCTCGGACAGAGGCGAGTCCGGCTCCAGTGTCGTGGTTGGTGACGCGTCCGGTGTCTGTGAGGGTGTGGTCTGTGGTCGTGGTGGTGTTCGTGGTGGGGTCGGAGGGCGCTGGGCACTCCGCACCGGTGGAGGGGGACGCGGCGGTGTCTGTGTGGGTGTGGTCTGTGGTCGTGGTGGTGTTCGTGGTGGGGTCGGAGGGCGCTGGGCGCTCCGCACCGGTGGAGGGGGAGGTGGCGGCCTCGCCGGCGGAGGCGTGTCCTCGCTTGTTTGTGTTGGGCGCGGAGGGCGTGGGCGCGGCGGCGGGACCTTTTCGCGGACTGCCGGGAGCGGGGGCCACTCAGCTGGATCCAGTGTGACTGTTGCGTTCGTTGTGCGGCTGTTCTGTTTCATGTGGTGCTCCCTGGCTGCCTGTCTTGTGGCCTCCCGGTGCCAACGGCTTGCATCTTGGACAACGGGGCACCCCTTATCCCAAGACGGATGAGGCCCTCCGCAACTGAAGCAAAGAGGGGGAGCCTTACACCCTTCCGTCGGGTGCTCCTCGGAACAGCGTCCGCACCGCGGTTTGCGGCGACGACACGCCCGCGCACTGTGGCCATACATGAGACAGTTTTTGCAGGGGCGAGGGGCGTAGACCCACGGCGTGATCGGGACTCTCAAGTAGCCGCAATACACGACTTGCGGGAGGTCCCGCCCGGCGAACCATAGTCTTATTGTGGGGTTAGGACCCATCTTTTCGATGTTGTTGGACCTGAGCCTTTCGACTTTGATGACGCCTTGCTCCTTGAGTTCGTCGAGGAGCTCAGCGTTGCTGAGCTCCGTCAGCGCCTCGCTCCTGAGAGCACCTTCCACTGAGTTCAGTCGGTGGGCGAGTTGGGTTGTCACGGGTTGGTCGGTGAACGTCGTCATGTTGAGGAGGATCTCTGTCTGCTCTTTGTTTTTCGTTTGGATCAGAAGGGACCCGGACTGTACGGCCTTAGCCGAGGTGACGGGGCCGCACAGGCGATCCAAGGACCGCTTGATGGTAAACGGGTTGCTGTTTTTGAACGTTAGGTTGTTGGTGGTTTTTTTTACCAGCACGAAAGCTGGGCCGTCAGGGATGGTTTCGGAGGGGGGCAGTGAGGCCGCCCCCTCATCCTGGTAGAAAGGCATGTTACTCTGGTTAATTTGTGTTTATATCTGGTTATTATTAATAGAAGAATCAATAGCGGGCAGAACCGCAAATAGCAAAATTAGTCCGATCCGGATGAAAAAATTGGGCAAGAGGGCCGGCGCTGCCGGTAACCTCGGAGGCCCCCAGACAACGACGAAAGATCAGAGAGAAAGAGGTGGGGGGTTGTGGGACAGAATGTCCCTAGAAGAGAGGGAGTGGAAGAAAACGAAAACGATCCTAAATTACCTGCCTACTACGAGCACTTCTATGCGGGGCTTTAGCGCCGCCGGTGTGTCACCCGTCTTAATAAAGACGGGTGCACACAGCCGGGGATCTAAAAGCTGAAAGCAGCCGCTCAAAATGCCGTAGCCTATCACCTAGTTGCCGCAGTGGCACGCCTGTCCGGGTGGGGGATCCCCGCCTGAGCTGTTCCGGCACTGCACCCGCGAAGCCGATGAAGTGACCGGTCACCTTCAGGGCCACTACCGCGCCTGCAGCTGTCGGTCTGCTAGTAATAGAAGTAACGCACCGTTGCGACATCTATTTGTTGTCTATCTATTTTTACTGGGTGGTTACAGGAAAATGACACTGATTTCTATTTTGTCTGTTAGTGAGTAGTAGCACGGTCAGCCCGGTCAGCCATTAGGAGCTGTGTGGCGGCCGGCCCGGCCGGCTGCGCAGCGCCGCCGTTGGCGCTGCGCAGCCGCGCCAACGGCTGCGCTATTCGTTGCGCGGTGTGGAGCGCCGCCCACCTGGCTGGCTCGGAGGTCGGCTTCCTTCTGCCGCAGGATGGCCAGCACGTGGCCCTCGCTGGCGTCGCCCAGCCGGTGTCGGCGCAGCACGTCCCTATTGTGCGCCGTGCGCAGGTCGTGGCCCATTCGGCAGTCGGCGCGCCGACACCCGTCCAGCACAAACTGTCTGAAAACAGCGGCGCCGACAGTCTGGACACAGGGCAGGGCTGAACGGACATACTTCTAACGGGTGTTACTTCGTCATTTGCTTCAGTTGCGCAGAAAGGTGTCCTCGACTTTTTTACGGTAGGCGCTAGGTGCTGATGTTAGCTATGCGTGCCTACCAAATTGGAATGTCTTTGATAACACAAAACTACGTTTTCGCATTAATATTTGCACCCAAAATTAACAGATTTGAAGTCAAATTCGGTATCGCACAGCAAAGGAGCACGCACACCGCTGGAATACCTGCAGAGGTGCAGTCTGTTGCATTCGTGCAATTTGCAGGGTGTTTTCGTTCGGAATCTGAAACACCTGGTCAGGTTTTGGACGAAGAACGCCTCAGTCAGTTGGTCGCTTTCACTGAAGGCACGTCGTATCTGCAGGAGCAGCACGTTCTCCTGCATGGTGTCCATGCTGAACAGGCGGCAGATGTCCTGTGGGCGAGTCCGAGGTGGCATCTTACTGACTGGTGCAGGAGCCTCAGCATCAACACTGCGGCAGTGCTGTAATACCAGGGACAAAATACCTCAACTACCTAACAAAAAGTTATCCGTAGAATTAAAACATTTCAAAAATGAGCTATGCGCCCGGAAAAGGGAGATAGCTGCGCGCGCTGAGCCACCCAGACAGCTGCTGAATTGCTGAAATGCTGAGTCGTTGAGCGGAATATGGGGTCAGAACGTCGACCGCGCCGGTCGATGGGCATACCGGCTCCGAGCCTCAAAACAACCGCATTCTGATCAGCTGTAACCACTTATTCGGGACATATTCCTTAAAATTTTGAAGTCATTTGAAATTCAATCACTTGCCAGATGGTGAATAACAATCAATGTATAGATACTAGCCTTAGCAGACGCTTAAAGGAATAGTTCACTTTCGTATATCGTTGAGAGCTGCTGCGAGGAGCATGATAAATGACCTCGCTACTTTTGCCTTGTACGATTTAACGAATTTGATTTAGACAAAGGTCTGCGACCGAAATATCATCAATTCATCAATAAATAATCATTTTCATTCATTTTGTCATTTTCCGAGGAGAAGGTCATATATTCTAATAATACTTCCTAAATAGTTCACTCTCCTGATGTTTTTTTACGATGGATTTTTGATTTTTTATGCTCGAAATGATCATATAGAAAAATAACACCCTTTTATAAACAGGATTATTTTCTGTATTTTAATGTAGGAAGAACTATAGTAGAGGCTACCTAGGTACTATTTGCAGTGGAAGGTAATGATGCATTGGCCAATCAAACTAAAGCTGCATAGACTCGCACAAAGTGTGTAGACATAAACAGCACATTTGATACAACCTATCTGCAAGCTGATTGGCTGCAACTTTAGCCTCTATGACAGGTGGCTGCATTCCTGGTATTCTTCTACAAGGGACTCTTCAGAACGAGAAATGGAATATATTTGCCTAATGTGATCGCTGGGGTAGGTATAAAAGCTCCAAATTTGGGCTAGTCTAAGCTCAAGCTACTGCTATTCCACTTCATAGCCCATGCATGCAAGGCCCTAAGCCTTATGTTTTAAGTGATATATGTATTGCCATTAAAAGCTTGGCTTAACCTTCGCCCTAGTGGGGTGGGGGGGGGGGGCATATGTTACCACCGTGTCGCGTTTTTTGCGTGTAAATAAAAAACCGCGGCGCGTAGCGCCGCGCCGCTTGGAGTAGCTTTTTGTACATCAATTTTGGACAATGTGCGAAATTTTTGACCCCAGGTCACGTCAGGTCAGGTCACCAGGTCAAGTTAACTGACCAAGCCTAAAAAAGTTTGCAATCTAATCATGTCCAGCCTGCAGCGTTTGTCAGAAAGGTTTTAAACTTAGTGGATTGCATGATGTTATGAGCGCCTATAATTTGTATGTCTCGGATTTTTTATATCCGTGACCTAAGGTCAGGCCAGTGGCGTGACCTTACCATTATAAGTCAACGGAGGAAAATGAAAATGCCTCTAGATCCGTGTGTACGCTTAGGAACAGTCCAAATATTTCAGAATCACAATGATTTGGAACACCCGTGACCACCAAGGTGTCTTTTTTATGATAGCCTCTAGAAAGGTCATCCGAGGTCATTTGAGGCTACAAACATATTTTGCCAATAACTCTCGATTGGAAAGAGATGGAACGCTGGGGATGGTCTCATTGTGTTTGTCTTACCGAGACGCATCGACTGTTATGCAGCATGACCTTTTCCGGTCAGGTCATGACCTTGACCTGAGGCAAATTTTAAAGTTGACCTTTCAAGGTCAAATTATAGTTCATTCGACGCGCCTCGGCAAGAGGAACACGATTCTGGCAATAGAAATGTCGTAGCTGTTTAAGTTAAAAATTATCGTCGAAAAACACTTTTCGTAAATTTTGTTGAATAATATGAGAAAGCGCTTGTTTGAGGCTCATGATGATAAGTATAATGATGAAAGAAAACCGAAGCCTCATAATAATGAGGCTTCATTCATTCATTAAGTTACTTACTACTCAGGTCCAAAGCAATAGGTACCATGTGTAATATATATGCTCATGCTTCAAATTTAATAACTCAGTTCCACTTACACTCACACGACTTCTCAATCATACACACGATAGTCAGTCACACAAACACACACACCTACACACACACACGCACCCCCCCCCCCCCCCCACACACACACAGCATTAACCCGCGCCCGGCTGGGGGTCCTGGATTTCCACGCCCTGCTGGGGGGGGGGGGTGTTTGAACACCCCCCCTTGTAACTCGGCTCCTGGGCCACGTAGCGATACGCGGAAGGCGGCGTTCGAAAGAGCGTCAAAAATAATGACGAAATCACTTCGGTCAATTTTTTGGTCAGGTCAAAGGTCAGGTCACCAGAGGTCATGGAAGGCAAAATTTCGCCGATTTCCAGGTCGAATGTCGAAAATTTCCAAGAAGCCAACGCATAACTCGGGAACCAATAGAGCTACAGCGCCGCGGAAAAGCGCATTCGATAGCCCTATTAACGCCCTTTCTGAGTTATTCTCTCAGATTTGACCTAACTTCAATGGTTTTGCCTGCAGGGGGCAAAAACTGCAAAAATAGCCGATTTTTTTCGGAAAGTTTTTCTGCAATAACTTTTGACCCAAGCCCTGTACGAGCTTACTTTTACCGTCATCGTGTTCCTCTCGTCAAGACGCATCGAATGAACTATAACTTGACCTTGAAAGGTCAACTTGAAAATTTGACCTCAGGTCAAGGTCATGACCTGACCGGAAAGGGTCATGTTGCATATCAGTCGATCCGTATCGTCGAGCTGAACACATCTAAGGCGTTTTCATCGCTCTAGCATGCCTCTATCAAAAGTTATTTGCGAAAAACTGTTAGATACCATTCGTGACCTAAGATGACCTCAGGGCATAAACAAGGGTCACGGACGCCATTTTCATGTTCAGTGTGTCTAAACCACTTGTAATTCGGTGTTTAGGAGTGTTTATAATGTCTTTCGTCCAAAAGAGGCGCATTTCAATTTTCTCCCATTGACTTATAATGGGGAGGTCGCAAAATTGACCTGACCTTAGGTCATCGATATCAAAATTCTAAGATATACATTTTGTACATGCTATTGCTCTTAGCAATCGCTGAAAGTTTCAAAGCGATCGGTCACTCGGTGTAGCTATGACAGACATTGAAACTTTTTATGAGGTGAGGTCACTTCAAGTGACCTGGTGACCTGACCTTGAATGACCTTGGTCTGAAATTTTCACAACATGTGTAGAATTGATGTATGATAAGGTGTACCAAAAACGGCGGCGCTCCGCGCCGCCGTTTTTGAGATATTCGCGAAAAACCACAAGGGGGGTGTTCAAACACCCCCCCCCCCCAGCTGGGCGCGGGTTAAGAACGTTCTTTACAAGCTCACACACATACTCCTCTCACAAATATGCTTATTAATAACTTCAATTCTTTTGCATCGTTAATGTTGGTACAAGCTACTTGCATACACTCGCAATCATTTAACTTTGTATCACACTCTCAAAGAAGAGGATGGTCGCTAAATGTGTCAGGATGTGTTAAAAGGCGAGATCACAATTTTCAAAATGTATCTTTTAGGAGATCTGATGATGGGCTATGCCCGAAACTGTTATCTCTTTCTTCTCGGTCATAATTTAGAATACATTCATTATTATGAGGCTTCGGTTTTCTTTCATCATTATACTTTTCGTAAAAACACCTATTTTTGGAGTTTTTGCCCTCTGGAGGCTTAACCGTTGACCTGAGGTCAATTTTGATGATGACCTTATCAAAAGAAGAGTTCAAAAGCTATAAATTGCTTTTCCATGCGTTTTTCTAGCTATCATAGTTCTTGAGATAAATGCATGTTTTCTGAAAAATATAATGACATTTGGCATATTTTGACCTTTAATGACCTCCAAAGACCCCAATATTGCTCCAAGATAAAAAATGACCGAACTACTTTCAAACGTACGCATTGAGAGTTATCGACTGCTTTTTACCGCGTCTTTCTAGCCCTCTTAGTTTTTGAGTTAGAGGTGGGTGGTAACATATGCCCCCCCCCCCCCCCACTAGGGCAAAGTTGGCTGAGACCGCCACTGAGGCGCGGGTTAACAGAGGACATTGGCCGAACTAATTCTGTAATTCTGTAAGATTCTGTAAGAAAGAATCCTGAAAATATTTATCGGTCTTTTGTTTTTCTATATTTCGAAGAAAATTCCCATGAATTTGTGGTTTTATATCAGACACCTGTAATCTGATTGTAAACAGTCGTCTAGGTACGGCTGTAACAGCAATCCACACTTGGTTGTGAAAGTTGTTTTGGTATGGCCGTAACGACAGTCCCAAACACACTAACCTCAACGGTCGTCAGGGAGTGACTGTAGCGACAGTCCCATTTATACGCTCACCTGGTTGTGCGCGGTCGTCAGGGAGTGGCTGTAGCGACAGTCCCATTTATACGCTCACCTGGTTGTGCACGGTCGTCAGGGAGTGACTGTAGCGACAGTCCCATTTATACGCTCACCTGGTTGTGCACGGTCGTCAGGGAGTGACTGTAGCGACAGTCCCATTTATACGCTCACCTGGTTGTGCACGGTCGTCAGGGAGTGACTGTAGCGACAGTCCCATTTATACGCTCACCTGGTTGTGCACGGTCGTCAGGGAGTGGCTGTAGCGACAGTCCCATTTATACGCTCACCTGGTTGTGCACGGTCGTCAGGGAGTGGCTGTAGCGACAGTCGGCGCCGTAGTTGCAGATGTCGGCCAGGAACTGCCGGCAGACGTGCAGTCCGCGGCAGTCGGCCTCCTCGCAGCCCTCCCGGGAGCTGTAGCCGCGGCACACCCCTGGCAGTGAGAGGCGCAGCGGCGGCACGGCCCGGGCGCGCTCCCCGGCACCCTCGCACGGCGCCGACACCTTCTGGGCCGGCTGTGCCCGGCCGGAGCGCACCTGCTCCCCGGCCAACTGCTGTTTGTCCCCGGCGCCGCGCTGTTTGTCCCCGGCACTGCGCTGTCTCTCTGCGGCGTAGAGCTGTTTGTGCCCGACGTAGAGCTGTTTGTCCCCGGCGCTGCGCTGTTTGTCCCCGGCGCCGCGCTGTTTCTCTGCGGCGCTGCGCTTTGTGTCCTGTCGCGGCCCGCTGGGTCGGTAACCGTGCTTCTTGCAGCTCTCCTCCCAGCCGCTGACCGGGTCACTGGTGGGCCAGGGAGGTTATACGGGGCCACAAGGGGTCACACGCGTCACTCAGGGTCACACGAGAGCACACGAGGTGGTGGAGGTCACAATGGGCCACCCGGGCATTGGTGTATGTCACGCAGACTTCTTTGCTTAGGTCACAAGGGGCCGTTGATAGAGGTCGCATGAAGTTACACCGGCCACAAGGGGTCACTGCTGGAGGTCATACGAAGTTACACATGGGCACCGATGGAGGTCTGCTGGCATCACTACTCACTAGTGGGCAGCGCGGGGCAGATACCTCAGGACACTTGCTGTGACGGGGGCGGTTCGCCACGTTACAGCGGTGGGCGCACACGGTTCGCCGTGCTATCCGCGCACCAACTGGTGCCGGTCGCCTCTGCCTGGCCTTCAGCCCTATATGCTTAGCTAATTAGGTAGGTCATATAGGGCAAGGTCGACTTTTCCATCTTTCCTATCACCCGCTCTTCGGGAGACTCTTATTCTCCCCCTCCCCCATCGCTCATCTTTCCTCTTCGCGGTGAGTCGGGTTTTCCGCGGTAACCGGCAAGCCGGCCCGCTCCGCCCAATTTTTTTTATATATTTTTTCATCAGTAATCTTTGACATAGTCTCAAGTCAGACCGTTCCGGTCATGTATCGGCAGGGGGAGGATCCCCCTGCCATCCTCGAACTTAACGACAAACCGCCGGAGGGAGCTTGCTTCCTCCTGGCAACCAAAAAAGACAAGTCCACGGACTTTAAAAAGACTAATCCCTTCGCTCTCGCCCGCGAAGTTGACCGGTTGCTCGGCCCCGTTCTGGACGCTAAGCCGATCCGGTCGGGAGCCCTCCTACTAAAGACCCACAACCTAAACCAGACTAAAAAAGCACTCGCGACCCAGTCCATCTTGGGTCAAGATGTCAACGTGCAAGTGGCGGTGCACCTAAACAGTGTGCACGGCGTGATCCGCAGTGAAATGCTGTCGGACATGACCAACGCCGATCTGCTGAAAGAGCTCGCTCCCCAAAAAGTCATCCGGGTGCAGCGAATGCCATCAAGGAACCTCGCGACGCGAGGACCAAACCCTACCATCAGGGTCAGCTTCTCGGGCACAGAGCTCCCCACCCACGTCCAGTGCGGGTATGCCCGAGTACAGGTGGATCCCTGGGTCCCGCCCCCGCCCCTGTGCCAAAATTGCTGGGCAAATCACCCCACCCGACACTGCCGCCGCCCAGTGGCGCAGCCAGGGGGGGGTCAGAGGGTCAGCTGACCCCCCCGAAATTTCTGTCAGGGGCCCGCTCGAGAGAGAGAGAGTGAGAGAGAGAGAGAGAGAGAGAGAGAGAGAGAGAGAGAGAGAGAGAGAGAGAGAGAGAGAGAGAGAGAGGAGAGAGAGAGAGAGAGAGGAGAGAGAGGTCCTAATCTAATCGGACGAGCCCGCTTCGAGAAATGCCCACTGCGACACCTCGGGTGAGGGGTCGGCCTGGGGCCCCAGGTGGACAGGGCCCGGGCCCCCAGGAGAACGGGCCCGGCCCCCTGGGTGGATGGGACCCGGGCCCCCTGTAGATGGGTCCGGGCCCCCGGGTGGATAGGGCCCGGGCCCCCCGGCGGATGGGGCCCCGGTGGATGGATCCGAGCCACCGGGAGAACGGGCCCCGGGTGGACGGGGCCCGGACCCCCGGGTCCCGCGAGAACGGGTCCAGGCCCCTCGGGTGGATGGGGCCCGAGGCTCCGGGAGAGCGGGCCCGGGCCCCCTGGGTGGAGGGGGCCCGGGCCCCCGGCTGGATGGGGCCCGGGCCCCCGGGAGAACGGCCCTGAGCCCCGGGTGGACGGGGCCGTACCCCCGGTTGGATGGGGCCCGGGCCCCGGGAGAACGGGCCCGGGCCCCCTGGGTGGATAGGGCACGGGCCCCTGGGTGGATAGGGCACAGGCCCCCGGGTGGATGGGGCCCGGGCCCCGGGAGAACGGGCCCGGGCCCCTTAGGTGGATGGGGCACGGCCCCCCGGGTAGATGGGGCCAGGGCCCCCCGATGGATGGGTCCGGGCCCCCGGGAGTACGGACCCCAGGCCCCGGGTGGACGGGGCCCGGGCCCCCGGCTGGATGGGGCCCGGGCCCCCTGGTGGGCGGGCCCCGGAGCCCCGGGTGGACGAGGCCCGGAGCCCAGGTGAACGTGGCCCGGGCCCCCGTATGGATAGGGCTTGGTCCCCCATGTGGATAGGGCCCGAGCCCCCGGGTGAATGGGGCCCGCTAGGGTGACCCGCTTGCTTCGCAACGCGAATAAGGGGTATTTTCGATCGGTGGGCGTTTGGTTGGTCTTGTGTCTGTGGGTTATGTATCCATTACGGTCGATTGCCTTTTGACGGCTAAGCATTTTGGTTTTGGGAAAAAATATCCATCGCATCGAGGTGCTCGTGTCTGATAATAACCATGCGTTCTACTATAGAACATGCCAAGTGTGTTTCATGACATAGGTTGGCGTAGGTTATTGAAGAGTGAAAGCCATCGATGAATTACTATGTAGAGGTTTGAAACATTTATATTCTTAAGAATATTGTTGCTCGTCATGCAAAAGCGATGATTGGACCTTGGTCACAATTGAATGCTCTTCCAATCTATGCCCATTTCAATTGTCAAACATACCAGGTTATGTAGCAAAACCCCTGTAATTAAGTAAGTCATAAGCAAATGCTATTTTCTCCAGCAATTTGTTCCACCTTGTTTTTGATCAATTAGCTTTTCACAATTTTCCCATGAGAGGCGGTAGGTACATTTCTCTTGCCAACAAGCGTTGTTTGAACCCGCTCCGTCTGACAGTCACCCAAAAATAGCATTAAGTCCAAAATCCGTCCAAAACGTCAATTTTTCAAGCATAAGTGCCCTCACGGGTGCACGTGGCGCGTGCCATCCCTGCACCGCACACCATTCGATAGCCCGTTCGATTCTCATGCACGATACTGTGTTCCTCGTGCCGATCGGACCCACGGTTACCGAGATACTGCACGGGGACCGGACCCGTGTCGGGCAAGTTGAGCCATTGTCGCCCATTTTTGCAAGCCGATTTATGCATGTAAAGTCTATGACGCGAATTTGCACTTTTTGAGCACGCGCCATGTGCTCACCACCGGCCCGATCGAGCTGTGACTCTTCACAGGCACGTTACCCAATCCATCCTTGTTCTATAAGTTGCGCGAATTTCAGCGCACTATGGAAGTTACGTCGCGATCAGCCGCTTTTTTACGCGAGTTCTTCGCGAAAAAAACCTTAGGGGGTTGCATCAACCCCTCCCCCCTGTGCCGGCGAGGGTTAAAACTTCTTACGAGCGAATTCACGTAATGAAGAAGAATAAAAGCACAATCTACTACAGCAGCCAATAGATGACTTAGCCCTATTCCTGGCGGGGGGGGCCTCAGGAGCCCCCCCCTGAGGTTTTTTGGTTATTTCTCCCAAACGCGTTGAGCTAGGAAGCTCAAATTTTCTGACTTTTCCTAAAAGGCTTCTACGCAACATGTCTGAAAATTTTGAGTTGATCTGACCTCAGGTCAGGTCACCAGAGGCGGTTTGGTGACCCTACCTCAGAAAAGTTTGCAATCACGCCAGAGCTAGAGTTTTTGACCGATCAATTTCTTCTCTTCAGGGTTTAGTTAGGGTACCAGTATGTGCAATTTGTATATCTCGGAATTTTGATATTGGTGACCTAAGGTCAGGTCAATTTCGCGACCTCCCCATTATAAGTCAATGGGGGAAAAATCAACTCCCTGTTTTTACCACTAAAACGGGTCGGAATGGCCCCATATACCATACATGACTTCATATACGATCAACCTTCACTACCTTGAGGTCTGTTTTGCTGTTGGGCAGCTGTGAGGTCATGTGACGTCATCAAAGGTCACCAAAGGTTTTTGGCCAATAACTCCGTACAGGAACAAGATACAGACGCGTGGATGGTCTCATTGTGTTCAGCTCGTCAAGACGCATCGAATGATATACATGATGACCTCGAGGTCACGTGACCTGAGGTCAACCTTTGACCTTGACCTTTCGAGGTCAACATATATATCATTCGATGCGGATTGACGAGAGGATCACGATGATTCCCTTAGTTTGTTCCTATCTTGACTAATTCGAAAGTTATTCGAGAAAAACTCTCTCCATATCTAGCGCCGCCATTTTGACTTTTTCGACCCCTGTGACGTCATCTTTGACCTGACCTGAAAATGACCTTAGTAAAAATTGTTAGTAGTACCGCTTGTCGCTATCTTGCTTCGTTTTCGAGATCTCAGGGGGGGGCCGAATCGCCCCCCCCCCCCCGCCAGTTTCTTGTCCCGGCGGAGCCCGCCAGGAATAGGGTTAGGACAGGCACATGGGACTACTTTTAAATCTTGTGCGACAGAAGCAGGCAACAGTTCCGATTGCATATAATATGTTATGCATATTGCGGAATTGGGGCTCATATCGGACTCGAAAGATACGAAGTCATACGTCATAGTAACATATTTCTGTCGTGGTCAATTTGCGTAAAAAGTGAAGACCGGGTGATTACCGAGCTACTGTTCTATGCAAATTTTCTGATTCAAACTCGCTCAGGGTTATCGTGCAGGTAAAGGGGGCCCGCCCAGCAGAATGCGTATGAAATATGGAGAGATTCTGAAAAATGGGTGGGGGCCCGCACACTAGGGGGCCCGCTTTGGAAGCGATGACCCCCCCGAAACGAAATCCTGGCTGCGCCACTGCCGCCGCCGTAACCCGCTGTGTGGCAGGTGCGCGGACGAGCACCCGACAGACCACTGTGAGGCCGCGAGCTGCACCTGTGCCCACTGTGGCGGTGATCACCCTGCCTGGGACAGGCGATGCCCCATCCGGCGGTATTCCGCCGAACTCCACCGGACCGAACAGGCCCGCGCCCGAGAGGAGCATCATGCTCGCGGGCCGCGGTTCAACCGCCCCATCTGGCCCCCGGAGGAACAAGAGTTCCCAGAGCTGCCGGCACGCGCCCAGCGCACGCAGCAGTGGCTCGACCCCAA